ACTTATGGAGTCCATCATGGTTATGACATTAAAGAATTAGTTGTTGAGAGGTACATCTCCCAGCACCATAATAACCAAAGAAGAAAAAGGTAAACGAAGTCAATACAGTTGGTGATTAAAGGTATAGCATCATCAACTGTATAGAAAATACGAAAAGGCCAACATCATGACAAAAGCGTAATGTGATTTTATCTCGAGGCCCGTCATATAGAGTTAAGTATTTAGGTGTGCCTTTGCGTGGGGCAAGGAGCATTGTCAATCACAGATCTTAAGCCAATCAAATGAGGTCAGATCAAATAGCACCAAGGTTATAGGCAAGGTCAGTTTCTCTCCTGGTCCTTCCCGCCCTCATTTCCGTCGTGTTAACATCCGAACACAGATTTTCGGTGCTGTAGAAGAAATTTCCCGCCCCCTCCCCATGCTCCGGCCCTCTCCTCAGGCTTTTGTTGCCTTTTTATACGTATTTGGCTCTTTACCGATATTTAACCCCACCTTTGCTTAAGAGATTGCGTGATGTTTATTATATCAATGTTCTTGATGTGGGGTGAAATAAAAGCGTCACTATTGTCGCCATTTTATCCCACATTAGCATTTATTATTTTTATCTCCCGTCAATCTCGTCAGCAAACTAGCGCGATGGCACGCAGAGCTTTGGTCCCGTTTTAGTGGAGATACGCGGGTTTTTTGTGATAAAAATAAAGTGTTTATGTTTCGTGTGTCCTCAATGTAAGTTAACATACAAACAACACAATGTGAACACAACACGGCTCCATATATAATCGCCTGACAAAGGTTTGTCATCGACCCAACTCTGTGACTACGTGACTTACCGGGATACGATTGTAGGTAAAACTAAATGAACTGGAAAATTGGGCCACAAGTGCCATGATAAGAGAATTGACACAATATAAAATGTGTAAAACAGTTTGTTTCACAGTGCAGCAACTGAATGTATGCGACCTCATGTGCATACGCTTTAAGAAAGATGGCAAAAGCCATTATTTCTTATTTTGCTTTTTTCATTTTACAATAAATGAGTTTTCAAAGAGCTTAGGGTTTAGCAGCAATCTCTTACCTCTATTGGGTTCATCTGCTAAAAAGAGCAGTTGCTCAGCTACTCTTCTCAGGGCAGCATTTGTAGTTTGACTGATTTGGTGACTCATTTTTTTTAACAAAAAGTGGGGTCATCCTCGATGTAAAAACCTGACGAGGTTTTCTTTGTTTCACGAGGTATTGTTTTGCTGTACGCTACTGTTTATAGGGTTTTGTTGTCTTTGTTTTACGTCACTCGTGAGCTTCACAGGTTTTTACACCGAGGATGAGCCATAAAGTTAAAGCAACGACTCAGCCCACGAGGTGAGTAGAGCCAACGTAGATTCCGTACAGCGGAAATACCTGCGTCTTGTGGCACAGCGGTTCTCCAAGCCAAGAAGCCGAATGCGAAGGATGAATGTTGAACGGCAAAACATGAATGTTGAACAATTCGAAGGTAAATGAAATAAAGTGAAAGAATTCTCAAAGCAAGTTTGAATGTTGAATCGTGAGCCTTCAATGTTGAATCGAAAACACAAATGTTGGATTGTGAACTTTCAGTGTTGAATTGAAAACAGGAACATTGAATCGTGAACCTTCAAGTCGAATTGAAAACACGAAGGTTTGATTGTGAACCTTCAATGTTGAATTGGAACCACGAATGTTGAATTTTATACTTGAATTTTGGCGGAGATATAACGCCATATAAAAAGGCCTGGGTCGCATTAGAGCTTTTCTTTTTGTTCGTTTAAGTAGATGAGATTTTTCGTATTTCTTTTGTGAGCGAAATGGATTTGTGATTGACATATGAATCAATCAGCGATGTTTTGGTCAATGGATTTTAGTTTAATGCGATCTCCACAGCAGGAAAGTGCAAAAATTTTGCCAATTTTGGGTTTGCCAAAATTTGGAAAATATTTAAATTCGCTCTAGTGACGACCCGACCCTAACGCTCAGTATAAATGAGAAGAGGCTGCCAATCCTAGGGGGATCAAAAACTTCGCTGTGGCTAAATGACTGGCAGCCGGTCCGCAAGGTTTTCAAATCACTAAATGACCGGCAGTCTGATATTTTGCTCAAATTTAAGGAACCAAAGAAGCACGTCCGGTTCAAACTATCACATGTCGATTAAGAACTGTCAAGCGATCCAAGAAAGCTTTATAGATCGCAAGTCTAACGCGTGGTTTACGCTCAGCTGACGGAGAGCGAAACCATGGTTTGTGACACTGAATTTTTTCAGGTCGACTGCCGGTCACAGTTTTCAAATCACTAAATGACCGGCAGTCTGATATTTTGGTCAAATTTAAGGAATCGAAGAAACTGTGGACATCCTCCGCGTTGAAAAAGTTTTGAAAAAGATGCATGGTTGTCAGTTCTTAAAGGCTGGTTTTCATTAGCGACGGAGTCGGAGTCGGAGTCGGAGTCGTAAGAGCGCTTATGACTCAGTGAAAATCGAAAAACGGAGTCGTAAGCGGAGTCATATGCTCCACAGAATCGGAGTAAGAAGAATCAGAACGTTCCCATTTTCTTCTGACTCCGCTTATGACTCCGTCGCTTACGATCTAGTGAAAACTGCATTGTCGGAGTCGCAAGCGGAAGCAGAAGAATAAACCAATCACAATGCTCGATTCCAGGCCCGCGAAAGTACAAATTTTGGCGCCAAAGACAACATGGCGGACGAAGAGCAACTTTGGCTCTTATTAATCATTATTTTGCGCAGGCAGAGACAATGCAGGAATAATATCGTT